TCACTTCCTAGCTTCATCTTATTATCCTCCTTGCCATGAGATGCAGTACAAGTCAAATTCGCAACAGTGTTGATCCTGCTTATAGTAACACAACATGACGCATTACTATTACATATGCTTTCAAAGACCCTAAACAAGAACAAATAATATATACTCTTTTATGCACATACCTTGTACTAGATTTCTCTGCTCCATCAGCAGCAGCAGCAATGCTGTTCTTCCCATTAGCGCCAAGAGCTTCAGTGCGCATGTCCTGCAGAATGCAACAGGCTTCCTCCCGAATGGAAACAGACGCCGCTTCGTCACAGCCTAGATTGCTCAGATTCTCACGCAACAGCTTGGCTTCCTTTGCAGCACCCTGCTTGAAATATCGTTTTGTGACAAAATTTCAAGAAATGTGTACAGATCTGCCTATGAAAAGCCAGTGAAGGCAGAAAGGTCTGCATTTATGCACTTACCACCATGGCAGCGCCAGCAGCTGCGGCGACGGATCCAGACCCTTTGTACAACATAAGACTGATGGCATGCTCTCTGATCATGTTACCGGAGTTGTACCTCCCGCACATGGCCCTCTCGCACATCAACTCAGACTCTTTGCAGATACACTAGTTGAAACCAAAAGGTTTAATTTGTACTGTACTTAGTAAATGGAACAAGGACTGATACAGACTAAGTGGACATGAAAATACCACCAAAGCAGCGGCTGCGGCATATGCGCCAGAGTATTCGCACGCTCCGTCGATTATGTCCTGCGCACGCTGCTTGATTTTGTGGCTCAGAGCAGTCTCAGTGTCAGTTAATTTCATGAGAGAATTCTTTATTTAACACTATTTTAAATTTTGTTTCCTTATTTAACACTCAAAAACTTTTTCTTCCTTATCTAACAACAAGTTAAAATTTTATGCCCTTTATGACACTTTCATCCATTTTGAGCCTAAATGGCACATAAAAAGACCCTTTTGCCCCTCATGTGATATATGTGTGTGTGAGGTGCAGTAGTATACACACAACATCAATGGGGCAGTAGCGCACACGCACGCATCGGCAGGAACACGCACACAGCAGCACACTGCACATAGGCACGCGCGCACACAACAGCGCACACGCACGCAGCAGCACAAACACGCACGTACACACGCACACACATACATGGCTATGTGTATTCCGTACGTGCAGCATAGACGTATGGGTATTCAGAATTGTATGCATACAACATACATCTGCTAGAGCCATAAGCCACGTACAGAGTACATGCTACTGCCGTGTATGGCCTTCGATGCATGCATGCAATTGTACGCGTGGGCAATTTTGCCATGCACTACGTACAAAGGCAATGATAGACCATATAATGTATGCATCCACTATATAATGTATCTAGACATACATATATTCTCCCTTGGAGATCCTGCACTAAAAGAAAACTCAGATATTTAAAATAGATTATGTGAGCTCCATAAGAAGATCCAACAATTAATAGTATAATAATTATTAATAAAAATGATAAAGAAATCATTGAACAGCACGTGCGCCCAAACATACCACTTGAGGGGCAAAAGGGTCTTTTCAAATGTCATTTAGGCTAAAAATGGTCATAAGTGTTATAAAAGGCATAAAATTTAGACTCGTTGCTATATAGGGAAGAAACTATTTGTCGATGTCAAATAGGGCATAAAATTTAGACATAGTGTTAAATAAGAAATTCTCTCTAATTTCATCTTGTCCCTCCCACACAGACCGATGAACTTGGCCTCCGTCTCCAGACACTTAAAAGCATCAGTTTGCAATTGATACAAGGAAATTGTTCGAAACTTTAGTTCATGTTTTCAGTTTTTGTTCACGAATTGAAGATATTCATAATTCCTTGGTGTTTCCAGAAAAGATTTAGAGTTCAAAAAATTGTTTGAAATTTTCAAAAATTGTTTGCCTTTTGCAAAAATTGTTCAATGTTTCCAAAAGGATTTTCGGTTTACAAATTTTGTTCACTTATTCAAAAAATGTCGTGCTTCCAAATTTGTTCGGGATTTCCTAAATTGTTCAACGTTTAAATTTTTTTAATTAAACTTTTTGTGCTTTCAAAAGTTGCATCTGTGAAAAAAAATGTTCCTACTTTTAAATATTACTCCCAAATGAAAAAAATGTTTACGTTTGCAAACAGTTTAGGAATTTCAGATAATGTTCACGATTTTAGAAATTTTCAAAAATTGTTCGCGACTCTAAAAAATTGCTTAATTTTTGGAAAGAAAAATCGTGACTTTCCCAAAAGTGTTAAGTTTGATACTTTTGTTAGTTCTTGATGTTTTGCACTGCATATCAGTCAGATAGCTGTTTCGGTCGTAGTGGCTTTCCCCAACTACCCCGTACGCCGTCCCTGGTTCGATTCCTTAGCGAACGCTTGCTACAAGTTTTTTGCGATTTTCCAACCCTTTCTTTGCGTCGCACCACACTAGGCTGGCTTAAGTGGACTGCCCCCTGTGCGATTAGCCGACTACCTGCCATAAAGAGCGGCATATAGGGCACGCACGACCTTGCTCACGCGCGAGCCAACTTGGCCTGGCCCAACAGAAAGGAGAAGGGCTTGGGGCGTCCTTGGGTCGCACGATCGCTCCACCACCTGAGCCATTACCTTTTGCAAAAGTTCACGCATTTTTAAAAAAAAATGAACAAGGAAAAAGAAAACCAAATAAAAGTTCATCGATGTTGAAAAAAGTTCACAAATTTGAAAAAAGTTCGTCAATTCTAAAAAAAGTTCATCAATTTTGAAAAAAAAAGTTCATCGATTTGTGAAAAGTCCACGGATTTTAAAAAGAGCTCAGGAATTTAAGAATAGGAAAAAGGAAAGGAAAGGAAAAATAAAAGAAAAGAAAAATGATAAGAAAAAAGAAAAAGGAAACAGAAAGTGGAAAGAAAGAGAGAACAAAAAGAAAAAAAATTCAAGATAGTAATCACATGACGTGCGCTGTCTCAGG